AAAAGAAAATTTCCCTTGACCCCACAGGCCCCACCAGCTACAGTCCCATTTCTAGAAAGCAGTGTCTCTTCTCACTGTCTGGTTTCTCTCTCCACCTTTGGTCTCCAGACTTCCTTCAGACCTGCACCCCCACTCTCCAACAAGGACCCCCCTTGCCAAATCCAGTCCCCATCACATGACCCCTCAGGGATGATTATACAGGTGATCATTCTATCCTTCGAAAGCTCCTTCTTTCCTTGCCTTTCAGGGGCTGCATTCTCCTGGCTCTGTCCTCCCACCTCGCTGGCCCCTGCTCCCCAGAACCCTCTTACCCCTTCTTTGCCGGCTCCTCCTCACCCCAAACCCCCTGAAGCTGCAGGGCCCAGAGCTCAGGACTTGCTTCCTTTGTCAACACTCATTGCTCTGGTGAACTCGTCCAATTTGTGGCTGTGCAGATTATATTCTGACTAATTTAAGATGCCCTCAGTTTTAAGTGTACCATTGAATTCAAGTTCCACCAAGGAAGAAAAAATGCTGTCAGTTAACTCTTACTTCCCATCATTTCAGGAGCAAGTGTCCCTTTGTTCTTAGAGTCCCTGAACTGCCCTGGGTGAATGTCCACCCTTCTCTGCCCCGATCTCCCAGGTGGTAGGCAGCAGGCTCACTCTTCGTCCTCTGTTCTCCACTCCTACTTTTTATCACTCATCCTGTGGGATTTTCACAGGGGCTCCAGGAAGCCTCACCTGGGACTGTGACCGGCCCTACCACACCACAGTCTGTGGGAATTTACTCCCTGGGCGTGCAGCGCACAAGCTGCACAACTGCATATTGTTCCCTGACTTCACCCAGTCTCCCAGCTTCCCTCCCTCCCTCCCTCCCTTTTTCCTCCCTCCTTCCCTGGCTCCCTTCCTCTTTCCCTTCCTCCCTCCCTTCCTTCCTGTTTTTCTTTCCTAGACTTTTGAAGCTTGAAAGCAAGAATAAGTCTCCTTAGTTCTCTGCCTTCTTTCCTGTTGTCCCTGAGAAAAGGCCTCCTGAGCACATCACCGTGGCAAGAAGAGGCCATGCCCTGACGGAGATAGGTGCAGGAGCCCACCTTAGAAGCAGTCAGAGTAGCAAGGAGTGGCATTTCCTTGTTTTGCTTCACTACATCAAAACTCTCCCTGGGTGTGGGGGTAGAGTTCATCCAAACGTCATGGCTGCTACCAGTGGGGAGGGGATGGGAGGCATGGGGGCACTTCGAGGTCTCCTCCACAGGGCCACAGGCAGGCAGGCTGTTTGCACACAGAAGAGCCTGGGTCTGGACTTAGGCCTGTAGACAGGAGGAGGTTAAGGATATTGTGGGGAAAGAGCCTATGTTTGATAAGGAACAAAATCCTAGAAAGAAGTGAGGTGAAAAGAGGGGAGGGGCTGGACCTGATATATGAGGATGCACCCCCTCCCCTCCCAGGAGGGTGGGTGGTGAGGAGACCCATTTGCTCCAGTGAGGGAGGGAACATTAGGTGTGCTTTCTGACAGTGCCCTCGTGTCCCTGAGGAGGAGGAGCCCTGCGTCTGGGAGCACTGGCATCGTGTGCAGCCTCCTGTGCTTTCGGGAACATGCCAATGGGTAATTCTAATTGAATTTATGAGAATTGTTACCATCTGAAGGGATAGGTCACTCTGAGGCTACAGTTTTTATTTATTTCTCAAATGAATAGGAAGTACGTCCACCTTACACACACTTGAAGAATTTGGAAGGACGCATTGTGAAGGGGATGTGTATGCAAAGATTTAAAAAAAGTCCTTTATAAGGATCCACGTGGCTTCTTGGCGGATTTGGAATGTGGTGGCTTGGAAGGTGGGCTCTGACACCAGGCAGCCTGGCGACACATGGCAGGCTCTGCAACCTTGGACAGGCCCTGGCTGTCTCTGTGCCTTGGTTTCTTTGCTGGAAAGTGGGGTGACGTCACACCTTCCTCACAGGGCTATTTTGAAGATCACAGGCTTAGGAGGCTGTGCATGTTTAGGAGGCTGACTGGCATAATACTCTGTAAATAATTTTTTATCCTCACCCAAGGACGTGTTTATTGATTTGAGAGAGAGAGAAAGAGGAGAGAGAAAAACATCAATCTGTTGCCTCCTGTACGTGCACCCTGACTCGGACTCGAACCCACGACCTAGCTAAGTGCCCCAACAGGGGATGGAACCTGCAACCTTTTGGTGTACAGTACGATGTTCCAACCAACTTAGCCACCTGGCCAGGGCTAAATACTCTTAAACATGGCCCATCCATGTGTACAAGAACCTATGACATGCTGTCTTCAGACTGTGCACTGTCTTTAGGAGTGAAACTTGTTTATTTTCTTAATTCAACAAAGCCTACATTTTTAAAGTGCTTTTTCCATTGGCAAAAGAGGCTGTATATGTTTATAAAGTGTTTCCATGTTTAAAATCCCATTATTATTTCCTTTCTGGTGGAACATGCAGGGATGAGCCAGCTTAAAGTGAATGTACTCTAGAATATTCCATGTTAAGTCCTGGGGCTATAAATACATTAGGACCAACCTCCTCCGCGTCCCACTAACGCCCTGTCCCACTTCCTGCCCCGAAGAGAGTAGCTCTGTGCAGACGATCCGTCAGGATTCAGACGCAGCAGTTCAGTGTGACGCTGTGTGGGGGCCTCAGCTCCACCGGCCTTCTGCGGTGGTGGCTCAAATTGCCACCATGGGAGGAGGCCCAGTTTCATGCCTTGGGCCTTGCCCTGGAATGTTCCGGAAGACTTGTTGTAACAGCGTTGCCATGGAAGAAACCACTGTTGGAGTGACGACAGCTCTGGCGGGGCGCTTCCAGGAGCAGGGTGTGGCTGCCATGTGGAGCCTACATTCCCCAACTATTTCAAATTTTAGAAATTCGTTCCTAGTGGTTTTTTAAACTAATATTTTTTCAGTTCCTCCAGAGATTAATAAATTGATAACTCCAGTCTTCATGAATAAAGGCTGACTTTCCACATAGTGGTCTCCTGGTACCAGGCACGCCTCCGCAGCACCGCGGGACCTCGCTGCCTGGCACGCGCCCCTCAGGGCGGCTCCGGGGGCTGCCGGCCGTTCCCGTCCCCCACACGTTCCTGAAGAAAACACATCGCTATGAACTGCACAGGAAAGACATGCCTAAATTCTAGAAAACCAATAGGTTTTCTACTCTACGGGGAAAAAAAAAACCCAAACTGCAAGAAATAACATTTGGCCATTGGATTGACACGGCACAACTTTCGTAGGGGACTCAAAGCACTTGGTATTTATTGTCCTTCAGCAAATGCCCCGATTTTCCTGTTATAAGAACTGAGATACAGAATAATAAACAAGTATCTTTCCTGACAGTGGACCCCGCTGTAAGCAGAAACCGGGTCTGCTGACCACCCCAGGGGGAGGACCACCACACGCACACGCGTGTGCCTGGTCTCCTGTCCCCTGTCAGAGTATGACCCCCACAGCAGCAGGCGCTCAGTCACGAGGCTCATGGAATGTTCGCCCACGCGAACATTCCTCCAGAAACCTTGGTGGGCCTGATGCAAGCACAGCTGCCTTTCTGGCTTCTCAAAGGTTGCTGAGCATCCACGGATGCTTCTCATCATTTAAAAATGCAGGAAGTGTGGGAGGCTGCCCCATCTGGGACCCTTCCACAGAAAACTGGGAGGCAGTGGCTATTCTGTTTGCATGTAAATATTCACCAACCATTTTTAAAAGTTTGTTATATCTTTTAATATTCAAATCCGACATATTCTAGAAGCCTAAACGATGGGTAGAAAATATTTTGTAAGGCATTTAGTCCTGGCACACACCCCTCTAATAAATAGCTGTCAACCCCAAGAAAAAAGATACCTACAAAAAGGGCTGCTGGTGGCTAACTGGGCTCAATTCAAAAACAGCCTAGCAGCCATTTCTACACGGGGCCCTTTCATGCAAAGCACACTTCAGAGAGAAGCCTGCACTGAGCTGCCTGCCTGCACCATGCTCCTGTCCTGTGAACCAGCTCTTATGAAAGAGTTCTGGAATCCTATTTCAACCAATAGGGCTGAGACTTTCCCCATCCAACTGGATCTGTGCAGCCATATCCCTATCAGCATCTTCACTGATCAGTTAGAGTTGCTCTGTTCTGACCAATCAGGATGGAGCTTTTTGGACCAATCAAACTTTGAAGCCCTCATTTGCATTAGGCCAGACTAATCAGAGACCAGGAGTGGGGACTTCGCTCTACACAAGTCAGCTGTGCTCTGGATCAGACAGCGCACTTTTCCCTTCTACCAAAGACCGAAGACTGTTTCCCTATAGAGGACCAAGCACAAGAAAGCGACTTGGCCTGAGGGCCGGCTTCCCTGAGGGCGACCTCAGCGCTGTGCTGCTTCATACCTGAGCTGTAACGTTATTGAGCTGTTCCACAGCTGTGCTGTATCGCAACTGACATGTTTGCACTGAATAAACTTCCTTCTTCACTGCATCCCAAATTGAAATTCCCATTGGCTTTGAATTGGCACCAACGACCATCAGTTGAAGCAGCTTTGAAGAGATCATGATTTTTAGATTCTACGACTTATTGTGTCAGGAGGATATGTAGAAGAAAACATGAACTGATATAAGTGTTACCAGGGCAAAGCAAATCCAACCTTCTTAAGGAGTAAGACACTATTCCATTCCTTTCCCTCCCCTGTAATGCCTTGAGAGGACCAAGAGTTTCACATGAGCTTTGTGATATATTACAAAATTTCAGCGCATATTTGAAATTCAAATTCACGCCAGGTTCGAGATGTTATTTTTCAACTGTTCTCAACTGTCCCAAATAAAGCCTCTCCCCTGGGGCCACATGTGAGGTCATGGGTCTCTCTGCCTCTCTGCGACGCCAGGGAAGGCTGTCCTTCCAGGAAGGGCTGCACAGCCCTGGGAACCGCCAGCCAGCTCACAAGAATGAAGAGAATGTCGGGAGAGGAAGTGGTGGCTGTGAGTCAGCATGAGTCATCTCGTTCCAATGAGAATGAAGACTGAGGTGTGTGCCTCTTTTCTTTCTTTCTTTCTTCCTTTTTTTTTTTCCGTCTCAATGGTACAGACATCATTGGGAATGGACGGAAATAAGTGACTGTAGGGTCGTTGCTTTTTAAGTTCCAAACACATTCCAGGCAGGCTGTGCCTGAGCCAGTGTCTGTCCCCAGAGTGTCGCAGCGCTGTCCCCGGGAAGGTGGAGCTGTCAGCCTCTCCCCGGTGAGTACGCTTCTGTCATTTTTACAATCATTTCTGCAGCTTGCTGAAGAGTCTCCTTTGTGTTGAAGCTGTTGTGTTTGGAGTGAGCACTGCGTTTTGTTCAGACTTTGAGGAGCATGGTTTTAGAGAAGTGGCTGCCTCTGCCCCCACCCCCATAGCTACTGTATTTTAGCCTGATTGTCTGGGGAAGTTTCTGAATTGGTAATTGTGAGAATGTAGATACTTGTCATGTAGTGCGTTGTCTTGGAAGAGACAGTGATTTTTGCCTGGAAAGGAAGCTGTTGGGTTCTCCTATCTGGAGCAACCGTGGAGCCCAGAGGTGGAGGTGGGGACCTGTGCTTGCCCAGGGCTGCTGAGGCTGGGCTCCTTCCGCCTCTCGAGCTGGAGGAAACGGCCCCTGAGCACTCTGTGTCCACATGGTCTTAGCTGCCCGGTTTTAGGGCAAAAATACAATGCAGAGGCAAAATTTCAGCTTCCCTCTCTAAAGGCATATGAATGACTCCAGGAACTTACTGAATGTCTTTTCCTTTCCCTTAACTCTGAATGTCACAAGCTGTGGTGGAATCGGAAAGGAAAAATGCCAGGGGAGGGGCTGGAGCAGGGGTGAGGGCAAGGTGGCTGAACCGTGGCGGCCTGAGGTGACCTTGGTGTGTGTTTCTCACACTGTTACTATTCTGCTCAGGCTTTGCTTTACTGTCAAGTAAAATACAGGAAGTATATTTTTTAAAACGTCGTTCTAGTTACTGTAAATGAAACGGTTAAAATGTCATAAAGACCTTGTGATAAACATTTTTTGAATTTGCTTAAAAAGCTGCACATCAGTAAGCAGAGTATGACAGAGCTTTTTCAGTACAGTCATTTGAGTGCGTGGGCTTCCTGGGTTAATAATGAGTCAGCACCCAATTTCTAAAATTGGAGCAGCTAAGAGAAGGTTCGATCAGCCCCCGGCACAGTGCGCTGGCTGGCTGCCCCCTCTAAGAGGATTGGTTTCTTTGGTTAAAATCAATTAAGGATGCTCCCCCGTTTGGCGCCTCCTTCTCAGCTTTGGTCCCAGTTCTTCTGTGTGCCGCTGAGAGGCCCTTGGCTAAAGGGTCCCCGTACCAGGGCCAGCTCCTTCAGCTGGTGTGGTGAGTTTGAGGTGGAGCATACAGTTTGTTAGATAAAAAGTACAGAGTTTATGATTGGCTGGGGTGGCTCAGGGCTGAAGCTGCTTCTGGGGTCCCATGATATTACATCCACTGAAGGACTTCGTGGGAGAGGCACTCAGGGCTTGAGCTGGCATTCTGCACATGCATGTAGGGTGGGCAGAGTGTCCACTCGAACTCAGAGCAGGCTTACCCTCCTCAGACCTTACACTTATCTATAAAGTGGGAGGAGTGTTAGGGAAATTAAAAATAAAATGCGACAACACAGCTGGGGTTGCTGCAGGCAGGCAGCTCAAGGGCCGAGTGCAGTCCTGTTTGAACACACCCCCCATTGAGTTCGGTCAGACCTGCCCAGGATCGGGTGTTTGTGCTCGTTGACTGTGGGCGTGCCTGCCTCAGAGGACTGCAGGGGGTCTCAGAGAGGTGGCATCTGCAGAGGGCGTACCGGAGTCCTGGCAACGTGAGCTCTACCAGCTTCTAGTCTCTGAAGGTCTTGGGCTCTCGGTCTCTGAGTTGGCGCCATGACTTTTCAAGCAGAGTCCTGCCATCCCAGTGTAGCCAGTGGTTGTTCCAAACCCCGAGAGTTACGGCCATGCCTGTGCCAACTCGGGGCCTCAGCAAGGCAGACTCCATGGATTTCCAAAGTGGGAGACCAGCCCGGACTCCCTCTCTTGGTGAAGAGTCCTCAGATGTACCCAGAGAAAGGCCATCTTCATGGAGAGGAGGACCAGGGGCCACCTTCCGGAGATGGTGCCTCAGTGCTTCCCACACAGGCACTTCCTCCTGTGCCCATTTCAGAGACCGCCAGGTGTTGGGTGTGTTTTGGTGCCCAGGTCCCCTATCTTCAGATTCTCCCAGATAAGTGCTGTGGGGCAGTGGCTCGAGGTGGCTGGTTTCATCTTAGACATTGAGTGCCTTCTTTCATGTAGAATTCGGGCTGTTGTTTCGAGGCTGCGAGTTGGCTGGCCTCTTAACCATGAGAAAGGAGCCTGCAGTAAACTGATATTATCACTTTTGTAATCAGGAGAGTTATTTTAAAAGGCCAGCAATAAAGCCACGATTGTGCCTGAAAGCAGAGCGTTTATTCATATAATCTGCTTTGTCATTGTTCCAACTACTGAGCTGCTTCTGAGTGTGGAGGGGCAGGGAGGGAGGAGGGAAGCATTCTCCAAGAGAAACTGAGCAGACTCTTAACACAGCATCTCTGCAAAAAGAAAACGCTGACAGCCTGGTGATATTTAAAAGTTGCCCAGAGCCCTGTTGTCAGGTGCCCTCAGCCGGGGGACTGGCTTATGGCTTGCTGGCTCTGCTTCATGCCACCCTCGCCAACACCTGGCCCAGGCTCTCCTGACTTCCTGCTGGCAGGTTTCCATGGGATCCAACAGGTGTCTCCACCACTGGCTACCATGTGGTGAGCTCACCCTCATGCTGAGCGAGTTACTTAACTTCTTGGCATCCCACTTTCTTCATAGTGAAGTGTGAATGGTATTAGTTCCTGCCTTGTGGGTTCATCTAAGATCAGTAATGATAGCTTAGCACATGAGTTATGGGAGATTCAATAACTGTGAAGTATACATTCACTGACTCAGAAATATGACAGATCCCTTTGTACCTCCACCTGGGCTGTGCCCCGCCAGCATCCGTAGGAATCAGCTCTCATGCCCGACATGAGAGCCTTCTGTGTCATCAATGCCATAGCATGCCCAGCTGTTGGGAGACAGTTAATGATGAGCTAAGTGGGAGTGCTTCTTGGCTCTCTCTAGGAAAAACCGGGTCCCAGATATCAGGGCAGTCATCCCTGTCACATCATCATAACAATCACCACCACCATCACCTTCATCACCACCACCACCACCACCTCCACCACCATCATCACCATCATCATCACCACCTCCACCACCACCATCACCTTCATCTCCATCATCATCACCACCACCATCATCACCCTCATCACCACCATCACCACCATCACCACCATCACCATCATCACCATATCAATATCATCATATCGCCATCATCACTGTTGTCAGCAATATCCTTGCAGTAAGAACAGCTTCCATCTCATCCAGCTCAACTGCATGATAGTAACTTTCTGTGACCACCTGTACCTCCCGACACACACACACACACACACACACACACACACACACACCCTGGGTGAGAGGAAGGATGGCTGGTTACTTGACTCACTTGAGGTCCAAGATTTCCAGGCAAGTGTATGAGGCAGAGCAGCTTCTTCAAAGATGCATCATGGGAGGGCAGCGGGGAAGGAGAGCCCCTCACCCTCATCAGGAGAGGAGGGCCAGGAGAAGCAGGGGACTAGGAGAGTTCTGTGTGTGAATCAACAGGCTGAGGCCTCAGGCCAAAAAATCCAGGACCACAGCCTCAAGCTTGCCCCGAGGGTGGAAGCAGCTGGATTCTGTACTCACACTTCCTATCTAAAGCCAGCTACAGTCAACTTCTGGTTACTTGAAAATCATCACAGTTCATGGAGCTGACTCATATTAAAAATATTAAGCAAGACACACTTAAAACTAAAACCACAGCACACATAACATGGCCTTTCTTTTCCAATTCTGAAGATAATTCATGATTATGTAGCAACTTGGAGCCAAACCATCACAATCATGCTGTTGATGTGGAAAGGGAAGGCATCCAGTGCTTTATGCGTCGCCTTTCAGAGACTGCAGGTTTGGAGTACCAAGCCTCGGCTGTAATGGGGCGGTCAGTTGTAACTGGTGCTCATATGTGGGAAGTTCTTCCCCTGTGCCACAATCCAGAGGTCCTCTCTGCCCAGAGTGCTGTGGATGAGCAGTAGTGTGCTTGGCCCAGGGCTGCAGTGTGGGATCGGGCTCTTCATGGGTGTAGGAGAGTTCCGGTTAGACCACAGAGCTCAGGAAAGGGGAAGTCAACACTCATCAGAAGGAAGTTGGGTGCCCAGGATGGAAGCTCTGGCAGCAGGTTTGGTTGGTCTCAGAGGATGCCTCTGATTTTTTTTAAAATGGGTTTTATTGTACCCTGTATAATTGGAAAAGCTAATAGCTATGGCAGATCTCATCTATTGTGATTTTCCTGCTAATCTTTTGCTTTCAGGATTGATCACTCTGCAGGTGAGGGCTTCTGCTATAGATTTTTAGCCCTTACCCCCACCCTGTCCTTCCAAAAATGTATCTTATTTAAAATATGATATTTTGAATGAGGGCAAGAATGGATCATTTTAGCTGTTCTTAGTGGACGAATTATTTATAGAGTGTGAGAGGGATGCAGCCATCACTCAGCTAGATACAAATAAAAGCTTTACAAAATAGCAGTGGCTCCAACAAGTGTCAGGCTTACCTGCTGTCAGACAGAAAAAGATAAGAGGCAGACTCTCCAGGGCAAGAGTCAACAAGTAGTTCATTCATCCATCTCACTACTCTGCCATCTTAGCACTGGCTTCCTTTCTCAAAGTTGTCTTATGATTTCAAGAATGCTGCTGGAGCTCCAGCCATCGCTGCTGCATTCCATACAGGAAAAAAGAGGAAGAGAGGGTGGAGGCGGGGACAAAAGGCTAAGTATTCTGGATGTCAGCTTCCTTTAAGGAGCTTTCCTAGAGTCCCCAAGTAAGCCTTTCAACCTTCATTTTTCATTGCCCACCCTATTTATAAAGAAGGTTGAGAAATGCCATTTTTTAACTGGGCACGTTGGTACCCCTGACAACACAGGAGTTGTTGACAGCACAGAAGCAGAAGGAAATGGGTATAGGATGGACAACCAGCAGTCCCCATGACAGAGTGCTCCTGAAGACAACTAGATTCCCAGTCCTATTAATGGACTTGGGACCCAGTCACTTAGCCTCTCTGTGACCAGGGTCTA